GCGTGCGCGACGCGGGGTCCATGTCCGACTCAAGGCCGTAAGCGTTCGGGACATCACAGGGAGGCCCAGTGTCGCCCTATCCCTTCTCGATCGTGATGACCCCCCGAGGCTGGAAAAAGCCGAAAACCTTCCCGAACCCCTAACCTCGGATCTGCCCGCCCTTCCTGCCCGCCGGAACCCGTGCCGTGCCGCCTCAAACCCCCAGACGGCTCCAAGTCTCTGGCACTCCCTTCGCCAAAAATTTGGTCCGCCTGCGCGGGGGCACGCGGCGGGCACGCGGCCTGGAGAGGCGCGACCGCGGCGCTCGTGTGCCGACGGAAAACAGGAGGATGAGGAGGAGGACGACGACGACGGCGACGAAGACGCAGTCGGCGAGCAGCAGGACGAGGGGCGGAGGACGGAGAGGGGGGGGACTGGAGGAGCAGATGGAGCCGAAAGAGGCGGCTCGGGCCAGCACACACACACACACACAAAACGTAACGTTGGCGGAAGAGGAGGGGGCGACAGGAGGGGAGGGGGGAGGTCAAACTGCAGGGGGCGCGGCCTGCTCGTAGTCTGTCATGCTGAAGTTGGTGGCAGACATACTAACACTGAATACGGCAGACAGCTGACATGGACGAGAAGTACTACCAACTCGGCGTCGACGGCAGGCAGAGCTCTACCATGTTGCGTCTGCCCTGGGAGTCTAGACCTGAAATTGATGTACACAAATGCCCCCTACCTCCTACACGGGGCACTACGTGTTTGAATAACGGCGAAGCTGGATTATGGTCGTACACCTGGAGAACTACGCGCCAGACCTTCAGCGAGCATGCACACAACACATACCTACTCATCCGCCGTCTTAGTCTGTCAATGGTGTTGCGAGGCCACTCAGTATCGAATCTGGAAATCGGATCGGCTCGAAAGGTGCATCAAACGGGGCTGCATCGGCACGGAATCGAAACTGAGTCGGATCGGCCGCGCCATGATGCGCAGCAAACCCGCGCGGGCGCAGGGCACTGGACCGCACCAGATCGCCAGAACACCGAAACTGGATCTGCTCAAGTTAGGCCGAGACAGATATCAGCTCGGACCGATCGGATAGAAATAAACACTGGCCAAGTGACACCCATTCCCTCCTCAATTCCTGCCCCCCCCCTCTCCCCGGTCCCTCGCCAGGAGAGGGAAGGGGGGAGGAGGAGGTGGAGGAGGGCGAGGATGACGGGCAGCAGGAGGAGGAGGAGGAGGAGGCGAAATGGAAATGGAAATGGAGCTGGACAAGTCGCGAAGACGAATTAATGAATCATCCATGCCCCTGGTCCGCCTCTGAACCTTAGACTACATACAAGTCAGTTGAAATCAAATTCATATAAACAGGTGGTGGTGGGAGTGGATCTCCCCCGACACACATTCGCCCAAGGGAACGATTATGGGCTGGAGCATAGAAGCAACACCTGTCACAAAATTATCATGGCGAAGGACCCAACCATATGCAGTTGTGAGTACCGCAATTGTGAATATCTTCTTCGGTGGCGCTCCCTATGGGGAAACGAACCGTATGAAGGTGTGCCGAATTGTGCGGCGTAGCCTCTGCAGGGGGGCTCCCCTGGGAACCTCGACGGCAGCGCCCGCGCGCCGCGACGCCCATGTCGGCACGCCCCGCGCGAGGATCGCGCCCGCTTCCTCTCCTCCTTTTTCCATGTCCTTTGCCCGCGCACTCCAACGTCCAAGGCTGCGGGCGCAGCGCCATGCGGAGCCCTCGCGACTCGCGCAGGTCGCCCCGAGGGGGTCGCAGTGACGCGCGCGGTTCGTCCGCTGAGCGGAACAGAGATTGCTTGCTGGCAAACTCATAGCGCGCATGGCTCTGGCCGCCGGGCGGAGCGACGACGGGCGAGCGAGGCGCTGCACAGAGCGCAGCGCGGAGTTCGGGCGACGCGCGCTGATCGCCCCGAGAGGGTCCCAGCGACGCGCGCGGAGCGTCGGCGGCGCCATGCCGAACAGCCGGACAGCCAAGAGAAGAAGCGGCTGGGGCGGGCCGCTCCTCAGGTCAGGCCTCGCGGATAAACTCAGTGAAGCCGAGGTCCTTGGCGAGGGCCGTGGCCTCCCTCCTGCGCCGCTTCGTGCGCGCCGCAAACTGCCCCAGCTGCTTCCGCAAGCCCGCCGGCGGCCCGGCCAGGAAGAACTCGATGCGCGGCGCCCGCATGAGCAGGAGGCCCTCGTGTCGCGTGGCGCGCGAGAGCAGCACGTAGAGCTCCAGCCACCAGTCGTCGCCCTCCTTCTTGCCGTTCCCGACCTCGTGGCGGCCGCAGTCCAGGATCACGCCTGGGCGACGTCGGCCGAGGGAGCGGCGCGCCCGGCAGCCGACGGCCCAGGGCGGCGAGAGTCCACAGGACCGAGGTCTGGCTGCGGACTGCTCGCGCCCCGGAGGTCTCGCTGTCCCCGGAGCGCCGTTCCCCCGCCCCGTCGCCTTCTCGCACGGCGCGCCCCCGGCACGCCACCGTGGTGATGACCCTGCCGTGCGAGAACGGGAAGCCCGTCCGGGTGACCTTGGAGGTGCGGAAGGTGAACGCCTCCGACGTGCGGGGCTCGATGAACACCAGCGGGCCCGCGAGGTCCCTCGCGAGGCTGTCGTCGTGGCGCATCAGGTCGTCCACGAGGGCGCGCTCGCGTACTTCTCCATGCGCACCCAGAACCCCAGCGGCAAGCGCTTCAGGTAGATCCTCTTCTCCCCGTCTCTCTCTGCTCTCTCGACGTCGTCCCGATCCCGAGGGTCCACGACGATGTGCACGATCTGCCCCTCGGCGTCCTTGACGAGGCCGTTCTTGAGGTCGAGCGCCTCCAGGAGCCGGATCCGCATGCCCTCGTGCACCGGGAGCAGTCCGTGCATGCCACCGGTATTCTTCGGGTTGGCACAGTTCATCATCTTGGCGGCGTCCTTGACGCTCATCGTCGGTGCAGACCTGTCGGCGGCCTGCACGAGGAACAGGGGCTTTTTCAGGACGTCCGCGTCCCGCTGAGCACGCATGTTTATCCAGCGCGCCACGGTGTCCCAGTAGGACCCGATCATGTGGCCGTTCTGGAACCTATCCTCCCGGAGCCGGCGATCATCGGGTTTCAGCTGCATGGCGTTCCACGTGGCCCGGATGGCCGGAGGGACCTGCTTCCCCGGCTTGCGCAGGAACGCCATGAGGTCCCTGAGTTTCGGGTCCTTGAAGCGGTTGGACGCCTGGAGCTCGAAGCACAGCGGCGTGTTGCAGAAGAGCTTCATCACTGCCTGGTACTCTGGAGCGAGGTTGATGCCCGCCGCCGCCAGCTCCTCGAAGCTGGAGATGAGCGACACCTTGCCTCCCGTCGGCTTCAGCTGCAGGAAGTCCCCCAGGTGGATCACGATGGGCGTCCGGCCGAAGGCGCCGCCGACCTGGTCGTTCCTCCGCGCCCCACTCGGCCTTGCGTCCCAGGTAGGACCGGAACGCCAGCATGTTGTACAGGTTGGGCGAGATCATGCTCACCTCCTCCAGGATCAAGCACCTGACCGCCTCCCACGTGTCCTGCAGCGCTTTCAACCTGCCCCCCGCGGGTAATGTCCTTGTTCCTGAAGGACTGCACTCCGATGACTCCCGCCCGGTGGCAACTGACGGCCTTGTGAGCGTCCGTGGAGATGTTCGCGGCCTGGGACCACTTCGCGCAGACTATCAGCGTGGACTTTGCCTTGCCCGTTTCCACAGGGAACAGCGCGTCCATGGCCGGCAGCACGATCTCCTGCACCATGGCTGTCTTCCCGCTGCCGCCCCCCCTGCGGGAGCCATCGATTTCGACACCCCTCTCGAGAGATCGTCGATGCGATGGGTTCCCCCAGGGGGGTAAGGACCACAGCTCCCCCAGTTATGGCTGGTCGGAGCAGCCTGCGCGTGGCCGAGGAGCAGGAACTGGAACGTCTTCCGCTTCGCGTGCTTGGCCATGCTGCCGTCCTCGATATTCTGCTCCTCGTCCCACGCCACGTTGCAGGCGTTCGCGAACGCCGTGACGAACAGGGCCTGATCGGGCTTCAGAGGGCGGCGCTCCTGCTTCCCCGTGCTCGGGTTGACCACGCCGTCCTCGCACTTTTTGACGAGGCGCTTGACGAGGTCGCCGGGCCGCTGCAACTCCTCCGACGGCTCCCACCGCGCCTGCGCCGCCTCGGCCGGCATCGCGCCAGCGCCCGCGGCCCCGACGTCGTCCGGCGCGGGGGCGTCGTCCGCGGGCGCGTCCGCGTCCTTCGTGCCCCCCTTGGCGAACCTCTTTCGCTGGGTCTCCACCAGGTTCTTCAGCTCGTCTGCGTCAAGGTCGCGCAAGGCCCTGGACGGAGCGAGGACGTCTTCCTTCAGGGCGCGGGCAGCGCGCCGCGGCGCGTCGGCGTCAGTCGGCCCGGGCAGCGCGCCGTTCTCCATCATCGTGGCGGCCTTCTTGAGCTCCTTCACGAAGGCCTGCGTGCGCTCGGCGGTGTCGAAGCGCAAGATCTGCCCGAGCGTCTCGGGGTCGAAGTGATGCTCCAGGACAACGTTGGCGCCCAGCTTCGCGAAGCCGTCCTGAGCGCGGATGCCCTGGGCCTCCACCTGCGCGGCCCCCGCCCCCGAATCCTCGGCGCCCTCCCGGAACACGGGGGCCTCCGCGACCTGCACGTCGTCCTTCTGCGGCCTCTTCGGCTTCGAAGCCTTCGCCTTGGAGATGCCGTCGAAGTTGGCCGCGGTCTTCGTGGTCTCCAGGGCCAGGTACTCCTGCACCGTCAGCATGCTGCCCAGCCAGTTGCCCAGCTCCGCGCACTGGGCGCACTGGCACGGAGGCTGCACGTCCTCGCGGCGGTCGCTGCGCTTCTCGCGCAGCGCGGACTCGACCTCCTCCGTGTTCCAGATGCTGGGCGTCGCCCACGACCCGACGTCATTCCTGAGGCACTTCGCCCGGGCCGTCTTCGCCAGTTGCTCCTGGGCGGTGGCGAACGACTCCCAGCCGCGCTGGAACGGGCCCGCCACGCCCTCACCCGCCGGCTGCGCCGGCCACTCGGGCTCGCCCTCCGGCGCCGCGCACAGGCGCTCGTACGCGCGGAGGTAGCGCAGCTCCTTCGTGTCGTTGGGACCGTCGGCGTCCGGCAGGTGCACTGGCCGGAGCAGCACCGACTTCATGAGGTAGTGCGTCTCCACGTTCGACTCCGCGCTCACGAACTGGAAGCCTTCGGCCTTCGGGATGCGCGGCTCGACGGCCAGCCTCTGAGTCCAGTTCCGCGCCGCCGAGTAGGAGGAGTCGAAGGCGATGTCGACGTGCAGGGTGCGACCCCCGCTGCCCCCGGGATCCAGCTCCCCGGCCGGAAGGGCATGCAGCGGCAGTTCCACGCGGTACACCCAGATGCTGTAGACGTACAAGCTCATGTCTCGGACAATAGGGTGGTCTCCGCGGTGCATCCAGTCGTCGCGCTGGCTCAGCACTGCGCCCCTGAACTTGCCCTGCGCGAGGCCCTCGACAGTCGGCGCCGGTGCCTCGGGCACCTCTTCGGCCTCGCCTTCCCGCATCCTGTTCAACGCCTTCGTAACGTCGCGCAGCGAGCCGCCGCTGGCGTTCGCGATCTGGAACGCCTGGTGCGCGTACTCGATCGTGTCGAACTCCTCGCCGTCGGGGCTGACGTACACCGTCTCGCCCTCGCGCTGCACCTCGCGCCACCCCGGCATCGCGACCTGCTGTCCAGTGCCGGGGACCGCGTACGTGATCGAGGCGGCGGGCGCGCGTTCCGCGGCGTCGGCCTGGCCGCACCGCCCGCGCCAGGACTCCGCGGCGAGGTCGATGGATTTCCGCATGAACACCTTCCAGCAACGGTGCGTCATGAAGGAGAGGTGCCCGAAGAGCATGGGGAAGACCATCTCGCTGCCGCTCTTCCAGGAGGCCCTGCGGAAGCAGGTCTCGAAGCGGGCCAGCACCTGCAGCGTGCGCTTGAAATCCTCCTTGCGCTTTCCTGCGGCGGTCGACTGGGCCTCGTCGCCGGCGTCGCCCGCGGCCTGCGCCTCCCCGTCGTCCCACTGGCTCTTCAGGCGGCGCACGCCGTCGAGGAGCTTGCACAGCACGTCGTCCATGCTGGGGTTCACCTTCGTGGTGTACGAGTTGACGTAGTAGCTCGTGTTGTGGGCGTCCACGAAGGTGGCCAGCGCGTGCCGCTCCAGGTCGCACTGGAGATCGGCGCGCGCAGCGTCGCCACCGTCCACGGCGGGGCTGTCGCGGTTCGCGAGTGTCCTGTAGATCCCGTGCCAGTCGGTGACTACGACGAGGTCCCACTTCTCCGCGGGCGTGGTGTTCAGATGCTGGAACCATCCCCAGTCCTCCCGGGCGCCCACCGAGAAGTCGGCGTAGCGCTGAGGGTAGAGGCCATGGTTGTAGCTCTTGCGGTCCTCCTCGTTCGCCGGCGGTTCCAGCTCCGACGCATCCATCCACAGGCGCGGGGGCAGCACCCGTCTCATGTCTTGCACGTCCACGTTGCACCGCGCCGCGACGAGCGCCGCGTACTTCGTGGAGGTCTCCCCGGGGTGGAGCTGGAAGCTGACGATGCGTCCGGCCATGCCGTAGTCCGTCTCCCGGAATATGCCGATGCAGCCGCGCAGCGCCTTCCCGCGCGTGCGGAGTCGGCACTCTCGGGAGTCCTCACCCTCGGTCCACGTGCACAATGTCACCAGGTTGTAGAAGTTGTGGCGGCAGATCTGCGAGCCGCGCGTCCTGTCGGAATGGTACTTGTAGCAGGAGGGGCTGCAGACGTGGATGCCGCAGCCGATGACGAGCTCGCGCACGTCGCGGCACATCTCGCGAATCCACTCCTCGCTCGGGAGAGACTCCGCCAGGGTGCCCCCGCCGCGATACCTCGGGAAGATGCCGGAGGCGCTGCTGGAGAGCGGCCGCCGCCAGTACCCCTTGTTCTCCGCGGCCCTCTGCTCTGTCCACGCCGCAACGTCGTCCACGATCTCGCCGCCGTTGTTGCGCAGCGGCAGATCGGGGCGAATCGCCCTGTGGTAGTCGTCTACCTTGGGCTCGTAGAACCACAGCTCCTGCGGCTCCGTCTCGCCTCCGTCCCCGAGCTGCTCTGCAGTCGCCATCTCCGCGCCCCCGTCGGCTCTGAAGTACCGCTTCTCGTTGGGCCCGAACGGCAGCGGCGGCACCTCGACCCCGCACTTGTTCTCGCCCCCCTGCAGCTGCAGGGGCAGCAGCTCCACGGCGCTCTGCTGAGTGGCGACCACGGCCTGCACCACCTGCCGCATCCACAGGTTCAAGCGCTCCTGGAAGCGCGCCTCGTCGCGCTGCAGCATGTCCAAGAGCACGCGCAGCTGACCCTGCAGCAGCCAGATGAGGATGTGCGGGTGCAGCGAGCCGCGGCCCTGAGCCTCGACCGGACCGAAAGCCGCCGCGAGGGGGCCGAACACCGTGGGCACGCCCATGAGGTCGGCCGCCACGCCGTCGGAGATCCAGTGCTCCGAAGCTTTTCGAACTTCCCCTCGCCGCCACCCGACGGTCTCCGGGCGCAGGCCGAGGACGTGGACGAAGAACAGCCTCATCATCAGCTCGAACACTACGGCCTGGCCCACGGGGTCCGCAGCGATGCGCTGCGACATCTCGCTGAACGTGACTTGCTCCGCCTCAGTCAGGTCGTTGTCGAAGGTGTACTCCTCCCCCTGCACGATGAGGATCAGGGGCTGCTTGGTGTTTGCCAGGTTCGGGGTGACGAACTGGACGGGCGGGCCGAAGCGCAGGGTGCACGCCTCGCCCTCTCCGCGCAGCTCCCGCCTGTGTCCGTCGGACCCGACTTGACTGGCAGTGGCCTGGCCCAGGGTGGCGAAGGCCTTCCGCACCTCGTTCGGGGTGTCCTTGTCCTTGAGGATGCCGTGCAGCGTGGCCTTCCCGCCCGTCTGCTGCGCCCTGAGCTGCACCTGCTCGATCATCTCCGGCGTGATGTCCGCGCAGGCGCGAGCGGCCCCGAACGCCCCGGGCGTCTTCATGAACGTGTAGGTGCTGTTGGTCGTCTCCGTGACTCTCCAGAAGGAGCACAGCAGGCGCACGTCGTACCAGCAGCTCCGGAAACGACTGATGGGTCTGGCCACGTACTTCTCCTCGTCGGCAGGCACGTCATACTCCATCTCCTCCCGCGTGAGAAGATTATTGATGAAGTGCGCCACGCTGAAGCAGAGCCGAGCCTCCTTCTGCTTCTGCGGGTCCTCGTCTCCGTCCGGGGGGAGCTGGCCGAGGCCCCAGGCGCAGTCCCCGTAGCAGAAGTCCGTGGGCCTGGCAATCGACCAGTACTTCGGATTCCACCAGCTCTCCGCCTTCCTCGAAGTGGGCACCCGAAGCCTCGCCTTTCGCTGGCCGTCTGAGCCGGGCGGCCCCTGCAAGGAGCGCGGATCGTCCTCGGCGGGAGTCCCTGCGACTTCTGCAGATCGCGCCAGGTCGCCCGCGCCCTCCTCCGCCTGGCAGTCGTTGGTCGCCAGCGCCTGGACGCGCCAGTGCAGCTTCGCCATGCCCTCCCCGGGGGAGATCTTCCGACAGCGCGCGTGGAACTCCTGGCAGAGGTCTCGCAGGCGGTGACGCCCGATCTCGTCCAGTTGCAGCGCCCTATCCTCGCCTCCCTGGTCCTCGAGTCTGGACATCAGCTCGTTGGCCACCACGCGCCCCGCCTGACTCTCCATCCTCTCGAGCATGCCCTGGAGCGCCGGCAAGGACGTGAGCTCGCTGACGTCGTCCATGTGGTCCTCAAGGACGGACAGCCACTTGGTGAGTTCCTGCGCGTCCTCGGCGGCCGCGCTCATCTCTGCCTGCGCACCGGTGGTGGCCGACGCGGGACCCTGCGCCTGCGCGACGTCGTCCAACGCCGCGTCCGTGGGAACATACTTCGCGCAGGCCAGCATGAAGTCGGGCACGCCCAGCTGCGGGGGGAACCGGTCCACGAGGTCCGATCGGCACTGCACGCCCGGGTCATTGTACACGTAGTTGTGCTGCTTCAACAACCGCGCCTGGGCGTCGTACTCCGCCTTGTCGACGTGCAGCGCCACCTCCTCCCTCATGGCTCTCAGGGCCCTCTCCTGCTTCTGCTCCTCGGTCAGGGGGACGCCGTCCTCGTCGTCGTCGGCGCCCGCGAAAACGGCCACGAACGTGTCCCTGAGCATGTCGGGCTCCGGCGGGAAGCTCCGCGTCGCGTGGTCCACGTTCCCGTTCCCGAACACGATGGCGGTGCCCTGCATGGCGTGCTGCAAGAACTTCTGCCTCCACGACTGCTGCTCCTGCCTGACGGCCTTGTCGGCGCCCTTGCTGGACAGGTAGATCTTCGTGGACACGACGCAGCCGAGCGCGAGCAGCAACTGGCGCGCGAGAGCGGCCTTCCTGAGCAGCGGGTGGTGGCGGCCCAACCAGAGGTCGTTCACCAGCGCCATGAGCGGCACCTTGGGGTGATCAGACCACAGGTCTCTCCGGCAATCCTCGCACACTTTCACCGGCACCTTCCCTTCGAGCGCCTCGGGCGGCACGCGCCTTTTGTGCAAGAGTATCTTCGTCGACGTCGGCGAGCCCTCGCAGTCGTCGTGGGGAAAGTCCACGGCCGACGACATCAGCTCGTCGCGCGGTATGAGGGGCCATCGTTGGTGATACCATTCGGCCGACAGGCAGTCCGCGAACTGGGCCCGGTCCTTTATGGTGCACTTGTCGCCGACGAGGTACTCCGAGCGGAGGTTCTCGGACCACTGCTGCATGGCGCAGCAGACGCAGGCCTGGAAAGCGCGGGGCTCCCTCGCCTGGCACGCCGCCTGAGCGCGGGCCGCCGACTCCGCCGCGTCGGCCGCCTGCCGGGAAACCCTCTCCGCGGGTGGGGCCAGCCCGATCTTGCCGGCGATCCTGCCGACGATCTCCGCGTGGAGGAGCTGCTTCTGCATCTCCGAGTCGAGCTTCGGGACGAACGGCTCGTCGACGGGATCGACGGTGGGGCAGCACTGGGAGATGTGGAACCGGGCAACCACCCACAGCGAGGGCGAGGAGCGCCGCCCGACCCCCAGCGCTCTCGATGCCTTACCGCTGGCGCCAGAAGCGCCAGCGCTAAGGGCACGTTTCCGGGGGGTCGGGCGCAGTTCCCAGCTACCCGCTCGCCTGGCGCTCCTCGGTCGGCGACGGCCGGTAGGGCTCCAGCTCGCACCGCGCCACGTACTGCGACTGGTACCATCGCTGCCCTCCGTGGACCCTGCTCTGGTGCGCCTTGAACGCCTCCCTGTTGGGGAACTCGGCCTCGCACATGCGACGCGCATACTGCAGGGCGGGCGCGGGGCACTGGAACCACCCAGAGCGATCTCGAAGGCGCGCAGGCATGGCCGAGTGCCGGGGCGGGCCACGGTTGCAGGGTCTGCGCTGCCACGCCTCCGCCAGGTGCGCCCTCAGCGGGTTGCCGTCGCCCAGCGCGGCCGACGCGTCGCTCGCCGCCAGGCGGGCCGCGGCCGCCACGGAGTGGGCGCCGTGGGCGGAGCCCAGGCGCTCGTCCAGGAGCTCCGCGACGCGGTGCACGTGCCACTCCCCGCTCTCCAGTCGGCGCTTGGCGTCGGAAATCTCGTTCTCCGTGACCCCGAGCGCCTCCCGCAGTCTGCCGGCCAACTTGTCGGGTCGTTCGGGTGCCTGCAGGAACGTCGCCCATCGGCGGGTGCAGTCGTCGCCCGCGTAGACGAAGAAGTCAGGGTAATGCTTCAGCAGGTCATCGGCAGCGACCAGCGGCTCCAGCAGGTGCAGGAGCAGGAAGAGATCCCCACACAACCGGCGCTCCTCGCTGGCGGTCTGCAAGCTCTTCGCCTCCCTGCTGCTGCGGAGGACAGGGGCGGCGGCGTTGTTCTGGGCGTCCTGTCTGGATCCGTCGGCGTTGTCGCCCTTGCTCTTCGGCTTCCGCCCCTGTCGCAGTACCTCCTCCGGCCTGCAACAGCGCTTCTGATCCTCCCTGGCCTGCTGCCTCCCAGCGCGGCTCTGCTGCTGCTGCCCCCCAGCGCGGCTCTGCTGCTGCTGCCTCCCAGCGCGGCTCTGCTGCCTCCCGGCGCGGCTCTGCTGCTGCTGCCTCCCAGCGCGGCTCTGCTGCCTCCCAGCGCGGCTCTGCCGCCGTCCAGCAGCGCTCTGTTTCCCTCGGAGGCGGAGCCGCTTCTTGGCAGGGGTGCCGCTCCTCGTGGACGCCGCGGGCCGCTTCCGCGCGCCCGGCACGCCGGCGTCGCCGGCCCCGCCCTCCTCCTCGTCGCACTCCCCGTCGAGGCTGGGGCTGTCCTCGCCGTCCGCGTCGCCGTCGCCGTCGCCGCCCGCGCCCTCCGCGCCGTCGACGACCGGCCCGGGCGGCCACGGGCACGCCTCGGCGCGGGCCGCCCTGGAGCCCACCTTCTCAAGGAAGATCATGCAAGGTATCTTGTGCTCGGTGCCAGGCGCCCACTGGACCACGTGCGGCCGATCGCCCAGGTCGTCTGCAGTGTACCAGCTCCCGTCCTCCTCGAAGTGAGCCACGAAGTGGCCCTGGGGGTCATTCAGGACGTGGGATGGGACGGCTTCCGATCCCTCGGGCAGGATGTACTGCACGTAGGCGCGCAGGCGGTACGCGACGTCTTCCCCCCCCCGCCCTCAGAGCCACCTCCGGGAGGTCGCCCCAGCAGGGCGCGATGTCGCAGCCGCCGAGGAAGAGCGCCGCGCCGTCGCCCCGCTCCCACCTCTGGGGCACGTGGACCGCCAGCAACTCGGGCTTCGATCGCAGTCGCCCGCCCATGGAGGCGCCGCGGCGGAGCAGCTCTCGCACGTCCAGTCGCTGCGCGCCCCCGTCGAGGAAGAAGTCCTGCGGCGACAGGGCGTCGTCGCCGTCGTCTGCCCCGTCCACGAATGCCGGGAGCCTCATCATGGCCTCCTCGTCGCATCCGGTCTGGAAGAGGCTGGCGAGACCAGGCGCGTCTTCCAGGATGAACGACAGCGCCTCACTCGCGTCCGCGTACCTCCCCAGCTTGAAGTCCACCCAGTGCTTCGCGAGGAACGCGTCCACGAAGGCGTGCGGGGACCAGCGGTCCACGCGGGCCGGCGCTGGCGCGGCGCCGCCGTCGCCCTCCGCCAGGCTCGGCGGCGCCCCGCGCACGCAGGCGGTCGCCAGGGCGCGCAGCTCCTCGAGAGGGGGTGAGAAACCCAGGCCGACTGCCTCCCATACCCCGCCCTGTCGACGCGCCAGTCGTCTCCCCTCCCCTGCGGAGGGAGGAACCCCAAAAATCAACCGGGGGCTGTGCCGGAGCGAAGACATCGACGAGATTTCCCCCACCCCGCGTCCTGCACGACCAGCGGCTCGCCCTGGCCCTCCGCCCCCAGGAGCGCGGCGCGCGCGGCGGGGCAGTGGAGGAGGCACTGCAAGGGCGCGTTGAGGTAGCAGGTGTTGCACAGGTTCGAGAGGCCCGGGTATGGGTGCTGGCCGCCGCGCGACCGATGCAGGGCGGGATGCCTCCAACGGTCCTCGTCGTGGACGCCGTTCCCCTCGCACCAGTGCTGGTGCAGCATCAGCAGTGCCTGCTCTGCGCCCTCGGCACGCTCATCCTCCAGCCTCGACTCCCGCTCGGCCTGCACCAGCGCGTCGATGCGTTCCTTCAGGACCTGGGCCGCAGGCGTGAGCTTCGTCGACTTCCCCCACCTGTGCCATCTCTGCGCCAGGACTGCCTCGGGCCCCTTCTGGGACGTGCAGCGCCGCGGCCAGCGGCCGTGGTCATCGCGCCAGGTCAACACGTCACGGAACGTCGCGGCCGCGAGGTCCCGTCGGCCCCCCGCTGTCCGCGGCGTCGGGCCCCGGAGGCAACCCGCCCCGGGGGTCTGCCGGGGGCGCCTGGCCGAGGCGCCTGGCGTCCGTAGACCTCCCTTCGGGCCCGATGCTGGAGTGCCAGCGGCAGCTCTCGGCGCCGGGGAACGGCGGGGCGAGGGCCCTCTCTTCCCCGTCACTCGGCGCCGTGGAGGGCTCCCCTGCTGGCGCCGCGGTGTCTGGGGGCCCTCCCCTCTGCCCTGCGCGTGCTCAGCTTGCAGGCGGCGCAGCTCTGCGTGCCGCCCAGTCTCCGGCACCCGCAGGAGGCGAGCCTTATCTGCCGCGGCCGCTGCAAGGTTCTCGCGCGGCGGGCCTTTGACAGCGGGCACGCCCGCAGCACGCAACCGCACTTGAAAAATCACGGTTCCGCCTCGCTCCGCCTTGTCCACATTGATGCGACATCTCGCCCCGCTGCCCTTCGGGGGCATCCGCGACCAATCCAGCCGGCGCGCGGCGGAGGGCCACCCGCGCGAGCCGAAGGCTCCCAGACAAGGGGCGATCGTCCCGCGGGGGGGGTCCCGCCCACGAGCGGGGGTCGTCCGTCAGTGGGCGCATCGGGCGCGCGTCGGGGCGCGCGGCGGCGCCTGCTTGGGCCATCAGATTTACGGACATGTGAAAGGAAATCGCCAGGAGTCCCCGCGACGCACGCCGGTCGCCCCGGAAGGGCCCCAACGACGCGCGCGGGTCGCCCGCTGCCAGGAGCACAATCTGGATGCCCGTCGGGCGGACAATTGACGAGAGCGGCCCGCGATGGCGGCGATAACGCCTGAGATTCATTAAAAGCACCTGAACCGAAACAACCGTGGCGCCTTGGTCTCCTGAGGCCCTTTAAAGGAATTTACCCGGATGCTCAAATAATGCCCAAATCGAACGAAAACAGCATATGATGTGAAAAGTGCTCGGTTTTGCTACATTTTGCATACAACAAAGAATCCAAATTGCCCTAAACGCCGGACCTCGACCCCCCCAGAGCCTCGGAGGCTCTGAGGGGGGGGTCAAACAAAGGTGACGACGATCGCGGTGCATCCAGTCGAACCTCGGCCGAACGACACCGGGCACAGCACCCGTCACATGTTATCGCGACGCCGAAACCGACGCCGACGCCGACGCCGACGCCGACGACGACGACGACGACGACGATGACGATGACGACGACGACGGCGACGACGCCGACGGCGGCGGTGACGACGACGACGGCGGCGACGACGACGACGACGGAAGGCAGGGCACCCGTCGCACCTTATCAAAACGCTTGGATTTCCCAACATGCCGCCAAGATGGCCCGAACGAGTTCCAAGAGGGGTGCAAGAGGGCACCGAGACGGACCGAAGAGCGCCCAAGACCACCTAAGATGGCCTAGTAGGCCGCCCGGTTGAAAAGGCAGAGAAGAGGCAGAGACGACATATGTATCGACGTTGTACTGATTCGGACATTTTTTTCTGCACGGTGGCGCCTTCTATTTGTGCTTGCTGCTGTAGGAAGGCCGCATATTTGGCGCTACTTCGGGGCGCGTTTTCGCGGCGCGCCCGGAACGAAATTCAAAAAAAAACGCCGCGCGAAGATTTATGCTAACGTCCTTTTGGTTTGGAAGATATGGCTCGCCGGACGCAGCTGCCTTTACTGTTGTTTGTTTGTGTTGCCTGGAAAAACAGGAAGTAGCACCGGCAGCCTTCGACAGCCCGGAACCCCCAAAACACCGAGACGTTTACACGGACCCGCAAACGTTGAATTTTTATGGAGATCGGTTCGCGCGACCGGACGATAGCGTCTGCACAAGGCGAACGCCCCAACGACCCCCAAAAAACAATTTCAAAAAATCCGCGATGGTTTTGTCCTTCTACGCACTCGAAAACTCTCCACGCACGCACGGCGAACCTCATCTACCTGGCAGGACGCGGAATTGAAAAATCGGCGTTAGTGACGCCGCAAGACGAACACCCCAACGACCCCAAAAAACAATTCCAAAAAAATCGCCATGGGCCCCTTTCCTCCCGTCCTCCTCATCCTCCTCTTCCCGGCCGTGAAGCAGGTCAGGAAGTGAAATACAAAGCACGAGCGACTGGCAAGTGAAATACAGTGCGTCCACAGACGCTGGAGCTCCGCAGCGTTCACAATACAACGGGAGGCACCGGATCAGGAGGAAAAGAGAACCACGACCCACGAGCGACCGTCCGATAGCGCACGCGCAAGGCGAACGCCCAAACGAGCTCCCGACAACAATTTCCAAAAAATCGCGATGGTCTTGTCCTTCTACGCGCTCGAAAACTCTCAACGAATTTCCACCCATTCCCGCGCTGTCCACCCCACCAGCCAACGTGCGACTCTCTGAACACGCGGGCGCACAGCGAACGCTCCAACGAGCGCGGAACACAATTTCAAAAATTTCGCGATGGTCCTGTCCTTCTGAGCCACAGACCCACGCGCGCACGGCGAACCCCATCTACCTGGCAGGGCGCGGAATTGAAAAATCTGCGCTAGTGACGCCCATGAAAGCAAGCACACGACGTGAAACTCCTCCTCTCTCCTCTACCCTCCTCCACCCTCCTCCTCCTCCTCCTTCTCCTCCTCCCCTCCTCTCCGCCCTCCCCCATCGTCCCCCTCCCCCATCCCTCCCCTCCCCTCCTCTCCCTCGTCCCCCCTCCCCCCCCCCATCTCCCCCTCCCCTCCTCCTCCCCCTGCCCCCTCATCCCCGTCCTCTTCAAACCAAGCCCGCTGGACCCCAGGAGCCCTCGAAAGCGGCGACAGCATTCGAATCCGCATCCCCCAGGGCCAGCGAGGCAGAGCTATCTGGGTTCGGCGGACGGCCCCGCAGGGGTGCATCGCAAGCGGACTGCGCCACTGGGACCTTCGGCGGAGCTCCTATGGGGGGCACAAAACGTGAGAGGGGCGCGCCGAAATGAGCGGCGGGGACGCATGCGAACTGTGCCACTGGGACCTTCGGAGAAGCTCCTATGAGGCCACGAAACGTGTGAGGGGTGTGCCGAAATGAGTGGCGGGGACGCATGCGAACTGTGCCACTGCGACCCTCGGCGGAGCCCCCATGGGGCCACGAAACGTGTGAGGGGTGTGCCGAAATGATTGGCGAGGGCGCATGCGAACTGTGCCACTGGGAACTTCGGCGGAGCTCCTATGGGGGTCACGAAACGTGTGAGGGGTGTGCCGAAATGTGTGGCGGGGACGCATGCGAACTGTGCCACTGGGACCTTCGGCGGAGCTCCCATGGGGGGCACAAAACGTGAGAGGGGTGTGCCGAAATGAGTGGTGGGACGCATGCGAACTGTGCCACTGGGACCTTCGGAGAAGCTCCTATGAGGCCACGAAACCTGTGAGGGGTGTGCCGAAATGAGTGGCGGGGACGCATGCGAACTGTGCCACTGCGACCCTCGGCGGAGCCCCCATGGGGCCACGAAACGTGTGAGGGGTGTGCCGACATGAATGGTGGGGACGCGTGCGAACTGTGCCACTGGGACCTTCGGCGGAGCTCCTATGGGGGTCACGAAACGTGTGGGGGGTGTGCCGAAATGTGTGGCGGGGACGCATGCGAACTGTGCCACTGCGACCCTCGGCGGAGCTCCCATGGGGCCACGAAACGTGTGAGGGTGTGCCGAAATGAATGGCGGGGACGCATGCGAACTGTGCCAATGGGACCTTCGGAGAAGCTCCTATGATGCCACGAAACCTGTGAGGGGTGTGCCGAAATGAGTGGCGGGGACGCATGCGAACTGTGCCACTGGGACCCTCGGCGGAGCTCCCATGGGGCCACGAAGCGCGTGGGGGGTGTGCCGACATGTGTGGCGGAAACGCCTGCGAGCTGCGCCGCTGGGACCTTCGGCGCAGCTCCTATGGGGGTCACGAAACGTGTGAGGGGTGTGACGAAATGCGCGGCGGGGACGCATGCGAACTGCGCCACTGCGACCTTCGGCGGAGCTCCCATGGGGCCACGAAACGTGTGAGGGATGTGCCGAAATGAGTGGCGGGGACGCATGCGAACTGTGCCACTGGGACCTTCGGCGGAGCTCCCTATGGGGGTCACGAAACGTGTGAGGGGTGTGCCGACATGTGTGGCGGGGACGCATGCGAACTGTGCCACTGGGACCTTCGGCGGAGCCCCCATGGGGCCACGAAACGTGTGAGGGGTGTGCCGACATGAATGGCGGGGACGCATGCGAACTGTGCCACTGGGACCTTCGGAGAAGCTCCTATGAGGCCACGAAGCCTGTGAGGGGTGTGCCGAAATGAGCGGCGGGGACGCATGCGAATTGTGCCACTGCGACCCTCGGCGGAGCTCCCATGGGGCCACGAAACGTGTGAGGGGTGTGCCGATATGAGTGGCGGGGACGCATGCGAACTGTGCCACTGGGACCTTCGGCGGAGCTCCTATGGGGGTCACGAAACGTGCGAGGGGTGTGCCGACATGCGTGGCGGGGACATGATGATGATCATGATGATGATGATGATGGTGACGATGACGATCACGATGAAGATGATGATGATGATGACGACGATGACCGCGATGGGAGGAGGAAGGAGGGGGAGGAGGAGGAAGGAGGAGAACGCGGGGCGACGTCTCTTCAAAACGAGGACCCAACACCACGGTAAGGGCATCGATGATGATGATGATGATGATCATGATGATGATGATGATGAGGATGAGGATGAGGATGAGGATGACGATGATGATGATGATGGGGGGGGGAGGATGCGGAGGAGGAGGAAGGAGGAAGGAAGGAGACGCGGGGCACCGTCTCTTCAAAACGAGGACCCAACACCACAGGATGGTTGGGAACAAGATCCCCAAATCACAATTAAACAGGAAACCATGGGTCGGATGCATCCAACCCCCAGCACAATACTGTCGGAGACCAACTTAAAGCAGGGGGTCTGGAGCCAAGCGGTTTGTTCCTTCTGCGCAGCCGAACCCCGACAAGCATAGCGATAGTTGCCATCCTCGGCCAACGCGTGGGAGGCCCCCACTGCGCAACGATCCTGGGGGCGGGCGGCGGGCGATCATGTCACTCATCCCTGTCCATATGAGCTCTCACGGGGGTCGGCTTGCACGGCGTCCAAATTTGCCCTGGCTAGCCACCTCCCTATGAGCTCTGCCGTCCTCCCCTGCACCTCCTTGTCCCGTCATCTCTGGGCAACTCGCCCCGCAGCTTCATATGCCAGGCAGTTGCGTTCGACCATCCATGTTGGGCAGCCATGTTTGACAGGCATCGCCGACGGCAATGCGCGAACTCATCCAGAACATCAATACCTGGTTTTGCGTTATTGGTCATGCACAACGCGAACGATGCGGGCCCACAAGTCTCCATCTTGCACCGCTGCCACGCGCGCGGGGTACTGCTGCTTCGTCCACCCAGGTGGCCATTGCCTCATTGTCCGCCACGAAAGTCAGAAGTCCTTCTGTATGGAGATGCACGCCTCC